GTTTCTGACTTCTAAAGTGCTTGTATAGCTTTTATCTGCGGCTTTAAACTGACAGTACCCAACTGTTTATTGGATCTATTGATTTCAAAAGAATTTGTTAGGATAGATCTTAAGCAGTAATCTGTCAGTGTTTGTATTTGTATTCTTGGCAATTTTACTGTGAAAAAAATTTTTTTCAACAAATAGTGCCATTTTTCTTGATGTCACTGTTTGTTGGAGAGTTAAAATGGTCTCTTTCCCTTGTGTGTCTGACCTAGTGTTTACTCCTGGGCACCCTTAATCTTCAGAGGTGCTAAATTGTTTGTCATTATACCTGAACAATGCCTCTGTTGGGAAGACCCCATGCAGATTGTCAAACAGTCCTGAAGTTGTTTGGTTATTTTACACCTCAGTATTGGTCCCAGAATTTTCTGCCCTTTCATGGCAATGAAAATTTTAAAGAGAGAGAGAGATTTAAAATATTTTAATTTTAAAGAGTGTGTTATAAAATAATGTACTGAATTCTTTATTCCATTTTATCATCCCTTTTCAGTTTTTATTAATCTACTGTATCAATAAAATTCTGTAATTTGAATTAGTTTTTAATAGTCTAGAATGTTATTGTGTATAGATATTTCCTCTTGAACATTATGTTCAGAAAATGCAAATTATTACACTATAATATAAAATCTGATATATACACATTAGAAAAGCTTCAGTCTCCATAACAGTGTAAAGTTAATCAGAAAGAAAAAAATTTTATTGATGCAGTGTGTCTTTATAAAGCTGTTCTTGAAAGCAAGTGTTTTGTATTTTATAGTGAGTTGCATGTTTATGAAAAAAAGTGCTGAAAATGGGATGTGCTCTTTTCTGTAAATTCATATTTAGCCATAGTATATGATAGATCGCCCCATAACATAGTTTTTCATCAAGAGTTTATTATTGTACTTTATTTTGGAGCCAAAAACTGTTTTGGGTGGGGAGGGGCAGGGTGGGAGTGATATATCCAACTATATGAGCTACTGTAGGTATCACAGTCTTCTGAGCTTTGAATGAAATTCCACTTTGTCCAGATTGGAAGAAGTGGAAATTTATTTGGATTTAGAGCATATCTTTTTTTTTTTCCTTTGTTGTAATCTGCAAAATATAGAAACAAAGGTAGTATCCTTTATACAGTTTTCTGAACTGTATTTTCAACCAAAACACATAGATTACAACTTAATGCTTATCTAAATTCATTTTAGTATTTCAGGTGCTGTTCTTTCATTTTTTCATGGTTACCATCAGAAAGGAAAATCATATTCTAACTTATTAAATTTATCACATTGAATAATGGAGCATTTTCATGTAATACACCATTATGTTTATGGTATATTTCCAGGTTTGGTTATAATAGATGGGGGATATAATAAAGAAACTACTATTTTGGAAAATGACATTTTACTATTTTCCAATGTATATCACAATTAATGTGATTATTTTTCTTTTAAAGATTCCTTCATGTTTATGAAACGACCTTTTATTTTTAAAAAAATTTTTGAATTGTGTCTTAATCTCTCAATATTTAACTATTACTCATTTACAATAGTACTGACACCAGTGATTATGGGGGGCTGCTATATATCTAGGCAGCTAATGTTGGACCAAGATACAGTTGGTTTTTAAACGTTTCATTAGCTCAGTTCTCCCAAACACCGCTATTTCTATTTCAGCAGTACAAAGGCATGTTTTTAAATCTATAAAATAAAGAAGAAGGGATAGCTTTGTATTTTTGTCGTTGGCTACATTGCACCGGAAATGTTTATGGAAGTATATCTTTAAAACCATTTTATAAAACATAATGAAAAAATGATTGTGGAGGATTTTTACTTGCATGATCATAGTTAACCAAATTTCATTGCACATTAATTCTGTACATCAGTTCACAAAAAAATGTTCATTGTAGATTTTGTTTAATGCCAATGAGTCTGTGATTTTCAGCTTGTCTGTTCACTTTTTGGGAGGATTATGATGTAAATTTTCCATTTTTCTATAGAAAAATAGGTGCAATAATGATCAAAGTTTTGATGTCCTGAGTCTTCATCTTAGGGGATTATCTTACTATGTTTAAACTTAACATTTCATGTACTAACATTTGGAGAGCCACATACTATAAAGTAAAATTAAGTATGTATAAAACAATTGCTAACAGTGGTTAGCAAACTCTTCAGTGATAATGTTCATTTTGAAAATGTATACTGTATAAAATTAAGAAAATATTTAACTCACTGTAACAAGTTCCATTATGAAAATCTTATGATTCTTCAGTGAGGTTATCTTTGCTGCACTCTGTAGCAAATGCGTTTAATCTACACTATAATAAAATTTCTTGCTGCAGTGCAACAGGAAGCTTTTTCAGTGATCTCCACTGTATATGTAAATTACAAATGTGGCTGTAAAACTTGTTCCAGGTATTAAAGGTTAAATTACTTTCTGTATCTTCTTACAACTTGTAAGTTTGATTTTTAAGATTTCCTTTTGTCCGTTTGAAGAATGTCAGGAATTTAAGAATTTGTTTGACTTAGGCATATCTCTGCTACCGCCATAGTATTATGTCACCATGATAAACAATTGGTATTTAGATAGATAACCAATTTTCAGACACATTTTTGAATTTTCTGTGAAGTTGAATAAACATGAAAGCTAATGTATAATTGTATTATTTTATTTATGTGAATCAATATATTTATATTTACATATGTTTACTAAATGGAGAAAGGCACATTTCAATGATTTTTAATTTGGAGGCTTTGTTCCATGAAGAGGAAATGTATTTCCTAGTAACATTTTTCAGACTTTTTGTTTAAACTTCTCATGCAAAGTCTTGGTTAACAAGAGATTTGCTAAGTATTATTTAAGTTAAAAGAGTACATAACTGAAGAAAATAAATGTATAATATTAACTTTAAAAGTAAGCACTAAGAAAATAAGTTACTATAGTGGCAGTTTCATTATATTATTTATTCAGCAAATATTTATTGAGTACCTGCTCTGCTAATCTAGTTATGGAGGAGAAGGTGTGATTTGGATAGAATAGATCTCTGCTGTTGTGCAGCTTACCTTTTCCACAAGGAGGTGGAGGACTAAGGAAACAGTAAGTAATATATAATGTCAGATTGTGAAAACTGTGGAGATTAGAAAAGAAAAAGGATAGAGAGTAGAAATGATTGGAGGAGAAGCCATATTATATACTTTGGAGCTATGTTTTTATTAAAATTTAGGATTGTTATATCTCTATGATGAAGTGACACTTTTATAAATATAAAACGTCACTTGTTATCTGTATGAATACTTCATGCCTACTTTATCTGATAATTGATACAACACCACCAGTTTTAACTATTGTTTTCATGACAAAACCTTTTCTGTCCTGTTACTTTCAACATATTTGTGTCCTTATGTTTAAGTGTGTGTTATATAAACATTTTATACTTTGGTTGTGTTTTTATCCAATCTTAGAATCTTTGTTCTTTAATTAGAATGTTTAGATTGTTTGCTTTTGGTGTAATTACTGATATAGCAGCTTTTTTTTGATATAGTAGCATTTATTGCTATTTTCTTTTTTGCCAGTTTTTCTTTATTCCTTTATTTTCTCCTTTTTCTAACTTCTTTTGGTTGAGTAAAGTACTTCTCACTATTCTGTTTTACCCTTCTATTAGCATTTTAGTTATGCCTGATTATATTATTATTTGATGGTTACCCTCTAGATTACATAGATTTCTCTTATAGCCTATACTATGTTAATATTTTTTCCCACCTTCTGAACAATGCAAGAAGTTTAAAACAGTTCAGCTTTATTTTTTGTTATATATTTTGTGGTTATAAATATAAGTGTATCAGTGCTTTCAGTAGTAAGTGTTCTTTCCTGTTTACTTGTACATTTTCTCTTTTCTCTGTTACTTTTTTCTTTCTCTGAGAGTCTTTCTCTGTCTTAATTAGTTTTCCTTCAGCCTGAAGAAATTTTAGTATTTATAGTGCAGATCTGGTGGCAGTTAAGTCATTCAGCCTTTGTTTGTTTGAAAGATCTTAATCATACCTTTATTTTTAAAGAGCATTTTAATTGGATATGGAATTTTAGATTGGCGATTTTTTTTATTTGGCAGCTTAAAAGTTGACATTCCGTTGTTCACTGATTTTCATATTTTCTGTTGTGAAGTCACCTTCAAACCCTTTTGCTCTTTGTAGGTAATACATTTTTTTTTTCTGGCTGCTTTTAGGATTTTCTCTTTATCTTTGTTTTTAGCTGCTTGACTGTATGATCCTACTCTTCCTTACACTCATATCCAGTCTGTCATCAAGTTCTGTTGATTATGCCTTCTGATTATCCCTCAATTTTTTTTCTACTTTTTTTTCTTTTTTTTGCCAGTGTATCTTCTTTAAGTTCTCATTTAATTGCCTCCAATCTCTTCTGCTCACATTTACTCTTGGCTGACCTCAGATTCATTTTCACAGTATGGTCAGACTGGTGAAATAGTGATCCCATCAGCAGCAGCAACAGCGACAAACCCTTTAACACTTCACTGTTGCATTTAGGTTAATGTGCCCTACAAAGCTCTGTTATCTTTGGTCACTCCTATCTAGCCAGTCTTTTCTGC